TTTTGATATTATATGTATTTTAACTAATATAAGTATAAAAATTTAATTTATATAATGCATTGCGGAGATTAAAGACCAAATTGGAGACTGTGTAACTGAACTGGACTGGACTGTAAGTATTAATTGATCGGTCTTATTAGGACTGAGGATGAACCGAACCGAACCGATCCAACCCTAGATAAAAGTAATAAAATATAGGAATATTGGAGTGATGTTTTAACAAAAAAAGATAAATATTTAAGAGGAGTTTTAAGGGTATTATTAAAAGAATATTTTTGAAGAAGAAAAATATATTTATAAAGGTTGTATTATAGAAGAGATTACAAGAGTTTTTTTATTATGAGTTTTTTTGTTTTTCAATTCTTGTTCATTCTTTTCAAGAAGCAGGGAAGAGGTCATATTTATATCTTTTTTAGAGCTCAAATCTTCAAAACCAATAGTGGTGTTTGTGGTGTTTAGAAGAAACAATAATATTTTGTTTACATGGTGCTCGTAGTGGTGTTTGAGGTGTTTTATATGTTATGCAACTCTTTGTTTTGCTTCTAAATTGTTTATAATGTTTCCAAATTATTCTGCGACTTTCTATAACTTTCTTTTACTCTCTAAATCTTTCCATAATATTCCATGACTTTCTTTTTCAACAAATAAACATATAACTAGCTAACAAATAAACAAATAAACATATTAACAAAACAAAATAAACAAAACTAAACAAAACTAAATAAACTAAAAATACTAAAACTATCTTTAAACAATACAAAACTAATATCAAAAATAATAAAACAAATAATAAAAAAAATATAGAAAAGAAAAGTCAAGTAATATCAGTAACAATATAAATTAACAAAAGCTACAATTTTAGATTAATTTTCAGAGCATATTGTTTAAGATGATTAATCCAAGGTGGCCTATTCTTGATAACAGTTCTCTTTGTGCTATAAAGAACTTGCTTTTGGTAAGAGTCATATATTTCCTTCAGTAATACAAAATAAAATTTGATATCTGAATTAATATATTTTTCAACCTATTTTTTATATTAGGATGATTCTCAGAAATAGTTATCTGGATGAATATGTTAGGAGAAACGAATGCATTAAAAGATGCATTATTCTTTTGAGTTGAAATACAATACATATTAGGAGCAATTTCACTAATATTACTAAACAGCTGTTTATTCAAAGTGGGTATTAATAGTTTTGAATTATTTACCCAAAGCAAGAGACAGTTGTCTCAAATAAAGAGCAAGCCCTAAATGATTCTCTATTTAATAATTTTCTATGAACAATTTACTTAAATATAGTGCCCTGGAGTGTACTGTAATTGCTTATCGATGAGCTAGCTTTCATGAAATTCTCCAACTGAACTTTATAATTATTTATGAGTTTATTTATTATCTCTTTAGAAACATAATCAGATGCAAACTCTAGAGTTGACATTGAGTAGAAAGGTTTTCCCTTCTCTATAACACTTTTTCTTTTATCTCGTCTAGTTATTGTCAAAGAGTTTAATGTAGAGAACTTTTCAGTATTAACTTCTACTTCTGTTATTTCTACATCTTCTACACTTTCATCTCCTTCTTTTCCATCTTCTTCATTTGGCATGTTTGTGCAGATATGAATAATTTTATGACTGGTGCTATTATTATCTGTGGTCTCACCAACAAAATTTAACAGATTATAATCAACTGAATTAATTGCTCTTTAAGAAGATCTTGTTAAGCATCATTGAGAGTATAAAACAAGGTAAACCGAGGATTCTATCTCATTTATTGTATAATTTCTAAACATATTCTTAATTAAAAAATTATAGAAAAGCTGAATTCTGCATGCATTGATCTCTTCCCAGGACAATACTGGCATGTACTGGATAGTTGTTCCAAGCTTGTCAAAGCTTCTGTAGTGGTGTTTCTGTGGTAAACAGATGAGAATTGTCTTAGCAACATATTCTATTGGTTTCATACCATCTACAATATACCAAACTTCTTCATTTCCCAAGTAATCTTTGAATGTATAAATATTGTTATCAGTTGAACTGAAAATACATTCCTCACTGAAGAGAATTGGAGACTTGTTATGTTTGTGATATACAACTGTTTTATGTTGTTGTGAAAAAAGATAAAGTAGATAGTAACTGAAGAAGGTTTTCCCAATTCCTGGATTGGCAGTAATATGTCAACAGTGAGCATTTTTATTCTCGAAAATAATATTAGACAGGTGGTGATAACATTCATGGATGAACAGAGTGGATATATTTGAACCTTGTTACTATCTATGATCATCAATCACAAATCAGAAATAGGTCTCCAGCTACAGATCATGCAGATCATCAGAAAAATCTTGATTAGTAAAAATTATTATGTGATCTTCACTATTTTTGTATTTGTTATACTATTTCACACCCTAATATCTCGTGATTTAATAATCCAATTTTAATAATTTTGGTACCATAGAATCCTCTTTATGAGGTAATTCGATGATATCAAAATCATCTAAACTGGATTACTAGATCGCAAATTATCACGATTTAATCAACCATATTTTGATTATTATTTTGTACAAATTTGAATGTCACTTTATATGAATTTAAATGTCATTTTGCACAAAATAGAATGTCACTTTGTATGAAATTGAATGCTATTTTATTTTGTATGAAATTAAATGTTATTTTGCACAAAATTGATGTCAAAAGGAGTATAATACTAGCTTCAAGACCTTCAGGAGTTTTATCAGCCGAATTACACTACATATGATTTTATGCTTGGAAAAGATCAGAGTCCGAATCCGGTTCGATCTGAATTTTTGGAACATAATCGCAATACATTAAATTCCTGCTATAATCAAAAAGCATAATTTCAATTAATCTTTTTCATCTTTATTGCAATAATCATGGATTTTTTGCTTTCTATAAAGTTAAATAATTTTCTTTAAGTATCGATTCTGTTTTTTGTATTCGTTAAATGGCCATGATCTAAATTTCTACCTTGTCCGATTTGCAGCATAGACGACGATATATAAAGCAAAAAAAAAACAGAACAAAACGTAAAATGGAAAGTAAATTAGCACAAGAACATTACATTTTTAATTTTTTATGCGAATGAGCTTTTTTTTATAACAAGTTAAAATAATAAAATACAGTATAACGATTATTCGTTTATTGAAAAAATAATTAGAACACTTTATGCCATATACTTGTGTCTCAGATCAATTCTTGCCTCAATTATTGGCTCAAATTGCGCTCGGCTTAAGTTAAAAATGCAGTAGATTAGGGTGAAGGCGAAATATAATCATTTAAGGCATGCCCTGTAGTATAGCATATAAATTAATACCGTATAGTTCCGAAATTAAGCACCCCTTTTTTGTTATAGGGGTGCTTAATTTCGGATGATTTTTTTTTATCGTGATAAACTTTATGATATGATGTAATTAATACGTATAAACAGA